CCTCCTTATGATTCTCTCTTGCAGCCCATGTGGCCACCATAGCAGGTGATGCCTCCTGAGGTTGGGGGCATCAGGCCGTGGATTCCTGACACCTAGAGTGCTGATGTCTGCCCTGGGAGCACGTGCCTTGTTGCAGAGCCCACGTGAAGGTGCTGCTCCCAGCAGAAGTGCTGATGGGACAGGACCCTGAAAAGCTGTGCTTAGTCTTCTGGAGCCTTCAGTGTGCTAAAGCTACACCAATGCAGGGGACACTTTGGCATTCGTAAATGCCATTTATCTGTTAATTAGACACCAAAATGATACCATAAAATCTCTAGCACTCTATACCTGTTACTAGTGAAGTATTCATGGACCATCATTAAACATGATCTTACTAAAAACTTGACAATTTCACAACACCCAGATCATCACAGGACTCAACACCTTTTCAGTCTAATCAAAGATCTGTGTGTGCTGTTTAAGAATCAGGACATAAAGTCTCCAACTGGTTTGTGTCCTGCTTTTTCCACTTATTTCTATCAAATGCTTTTTATTATATTCTAAAAATAAAATCACAACTCACATAGAATACAATGGAGAAGGAGAAGTCAAAGACAAGTTTATATGGAGTGAAAGAATGTTAAAATCAATTTACGAATGGGCAAAACCTTTTTTTTCTATGTGTGTGGGGGTGGAATTGGGTGGGGTAGTAGAGTGGACTGGAGTCTGTTGAGTCTCCATCAAAGAGAATTTACGAAGCTGTAAAATAATTCAAATATAAGGAAAACCACAAACTCCATAGAATCAAATCACCTGTAAATGTGTGCTGTAAATGAAGCCTAATTTCCCATTGGAGACATACAGTAATCTTTTTTTTTTTTTTTTTTGCTTATTCTAAATTCTTAACTTTTTCTTACACCAATAAAATGTACTATAAGAATGTTTCCAAAGTATTGATCCATTGTGGAGAATTAGAAGTAGGACAGAAAGAGGTTTAAAGAAGTAAGCCTAGACACACATAAATAAAAAAAAGATATTCAAAGAGATTCTAATTATCTGTCTGATCTGGAGATGGGATGTGACAGAAGGGAAGAGCATTTGCTTCAACTCTTATAAAAGTCCTAAATATGTCACTCATTCAGACAGTTCCTTCTACTGACCACTAGGTGTTGCTAAGCAGGCATGATGATCCGAGGCTTGAGGAGAAGCAAGAGTGTCACCTCTAATCCATCCCTGGTAATGTTCAGCTGATAAACACATTTAAGCTACTTGGTGGCAAGACATTTTACCTAGTCCCGGGCTTGGCACATAGTCAGCATTCAAAACATATTTCTTGAAATAAATTATTCAGAACACAGGGGGTTGCTTTTATACCGTAGGCATCCTAGAAATGTGATATTTTGGAGTAAGGATTCTTTACAACCTCTGGTCATATTCAGGCAAAGAGAGAAAACATTACAGTTTGGAAGTCACTTGGCCAATTAAACAAAACGAGGTAAATTTAGCCATGAAACGAGACTTGGTAAATCTATGAACTGTTTCCATTGCCTGTAAAAATACAGACAATGCAAAATACTTGTTTCAATGAAGACAGGATAACCATCCCTTTCTTTGGTTTCTGTTTTGCTCAGTGCCATCTAATTTTTTTTTTCACTCCTACACCCCCAAGCTTTCTAATAACTTCCAACTAATGTTGGTGCAATGAAAAGTGGATGGTGAGCCATCTATATAGTTTTACATAATCTACTGTGGACGAAAGGGGCCACATGCTAACCTGACAAGCCCAGGGAAGGCCTGCATAGCAGTCTTGCAAACTCAGAGACCTAAAGTAACCACAAAGGATGGTCTGAAATTAAACTTTAACTAAAAGCAGTTATGGTGGGTTGTTACATCCTAGGCCGGTATCTTCACTGACAAGGTCAACCTTTACCTTAACTGAGCCTGTCTTTTTGCATCTATAATAACATACCCTTGGCATGTCTGGGTAACTTGTAACTTCCCTTTTTCTGGACCGCTTGGGGCACAACCAAATGTGCTGGGCGCCAGGACAGATACCACAAGTTCCTTCATTATCGTGTTAATTGTTCCTGCACCCACCTAAGTATGTGTCTATCATTTTACTTTTTATCCAATCCCAGGGGATTCCCTGCTTTGCTTTCTCCCGCCTCTCTAGTCTATAACCAATGGATTTCATGTAACCCACCTACGTCCCTTTCCTTTGATTGCAAATGTATAAATACAGATGTAACCTACCATCCTCCGGAGCATTATCTCAATTCATTGAGGTTCTGCTTCCTGGCATATGTCGACAGTTTGGCTCAAATAAACTTACAAAAATTCTTTACAGGTTTCAATGTTTTTTTTTAAAGTTGACACTACATTAGCCTAAAATGAAAAGTGAAACATAGAGGGGCAGTGACTGCTGGTTAGATACAGAGTTGGGAGAAAGGAGGAGAGTGAGTCAGGAGGCTGTTAGAAAAAAAACCTCAAGAACAGATCTTCCTGCCCCTGACTTTCCTGGGGTTTTGCCTATGCAGGGCCTTTCACTCGTCCACTATTAAAAGTGCCCTGATTTTACTTTGGGGGATGAGCCCTCCTCCATCAGGCACTGTCCAGGTGGCTGAGAGGGAAGCACTGAGACAGTCTAGTCCCATCAAAGGTGGGGTCCCTGGAACTTATTGTAGAGCCTGGAAACCATTGAAATTCTTTTAGTTTGTGTCTCAAAGACACCACATACTAATTCTTGCTTCCTGGAACACCACAGCTGCCCTGATTTCTGTCCTTTCAAAGACCTGAGTCTTCTTTGTATGCATATATGCATAAACCTTGGATACAGACAATAGGGTGGTGAAGGCCTGGGGCATAGGGCGGGGCCAGGCTGGAGGAGGTTGGGGTGGGGAGGGGACATATGTAATACTTTCAACATAAAGATTAAAACACACACACACACACACACACACACACACACACACCCAAAGACCTGAGTATTTTTTCTTTGAATAAGTTAGCCATTCCACACTCTTCTAGTGAATTCCTATTTGCTTATCTTAGTCAGAGTTGGTTTCTATTGATTGCAGCCAAAAACTGCTAATATAATGAGGAGAGGGAACTAGTCAAAAATCTAGTCCTATGATTACTTCTATAATCTTTGTTGAACTTATCATTGAAAAGAATCAGCCCCACAATTTATGCAAAGAAAATTTCCCTGTCAATTTGTTTGATGATTACCTTAGTTTGTAAATATCCCATGAACTGATGTTTGGTACCTTAAAACTAAAATATAGCCCCTGGATATGTGAAAATGTATGTTTCGATGCATCTCTGTTTTAAGTAATTCTTTTCATGTTTTCTAAAAATGTGGCTCTGTGGTTGATTGTCAACCTATGAAACAGGTCACGGTTCAATTATGGTCAAGGACACATGCCTGGATTGTGGGCTTGATCCCCAGTAGAGGGCGTGCAGGAGGCAACCAATTAAAGATTCTCTCATCATTGCTGTTTCTATCTCTCTCTCCCTCTTCCTTCCTCTCTGAAATAAAAAATATACTAGTACATATATTTAAAAACATGGATCAGCCCCAGAATAATGAAGACTCTTTGAAAATGAGAAATCACTAACATTTACAGGCACTTACTAAATGTCCCAGACACTTTTCTAAACATTTACAAATATCACCTTATTTAAACTTCAGAATGACCCCATTGAATAGATGTTATCATCCCCATCTTACAAATGAGAAAACTGAGGCACAGAAGGATTAAAGAACCCGCCCATTTTCACATGGCCAGATAAACATTCTCAAAGTTTGCTGCATAGAATACTAGTTTTACAGAATTCTGCTTGTTTCCTGTGGCTTCTGTAACAGAGTACCACCAACTGCATAGCTTAAACCAGCAGAAGTTTATTGTCTTACAGTTCTGGGGGTTAGAAGTCTGAAATCCAGGTGCTGGCAGGGCCATGTTCTCTATGACTGTTCTAGGGGAGACTCTTGCTTGCTTCTTCTAGCTTCTGCTGCTTGCAGGTAATCCTCAGCATTCCTGGGCTTAAAGATGTATCACTCCAATCTCTGCCTCTGGTGTCATGTGACTGTCTGCTTTCTGTGTTTCACTCCTCTTCTAATAAGAGCATTAGTCATATTGGATTAAGGGCCCACCTCCTCCAGGATGACCTCATTTTAGCTAAACTAATTTCATCTCCTAAAATCCTATTTCCAAATAAGATCACATTCTAAGGTACTAGGAGTTAGGACTTCTTTGGAGGGGGGGATACAATTCAACCTATAACAAGAATGTTAATAGACATTGCTCAAAAAGAATTCCGTGGTCAAATAAATTTGGGAAACACAAGATTAAACACCGCTACAATAAGACTGTCTGTTGCAGTACTTGAATTTGTTCATCTAAAGGTGAGTCACTAAGCTGAGACTGTAATGTACAATTTCTCAAACATGTTTGAGTACGGATTGCTTTTTTACCAGCCTACTGTAGGGTTAGTACTCTGTGTGTCAAATGGTCCTCAGGCTGATGGGAGGCAGCAGTACCCTGGTAAGATCTCTCCCTTCTTTTCTGGTTCTACCTCTTACCTGCTCTGTCACCTTGAGACAACTGCTTACTTTTCTGAGCATGAGTTTATTGGTGTCTCAGATGGAGACAATAGTGAACTCCCCCCTATGGATTTCTTGTAAGGACCACAATAAATGAGGCTGGCTGAAAAATAGCCGGTAGAGTACTTGGCATAGAAGTGGGCATTCATTTAATAGTAGCTACCTTTGTTATGCTAACCTGTTGGTTGTGAATTTCTTGGAATGTTTATTAAGCATTTCTAGGATCTCAAGAATCATTTCAAAGCCAGGACTTTTTCTACTGAGAAGGTTTTCTTGTTCATTTTTCCTCTTCTTTTGACCATTTTCCTTCTATTGAGGAGAATGATTTTCCTTATGGTTATACAAATTTCCAGCTGCACGTTTAACAGTCTCCAGCATTAGCACAGAATGGGTTGTTTCTGTCTGCAGTTCCTTATTCTGATCTTCCACCCCAGTGAGGGGAAGAGGATGTGATCATGCGATCGCCAGCCAACGGGAAATTGTGAAAGGGACCTCACTATAGAAAAGCAGCCCACAAGTGCCTCAGCTCTCAGAGGAGGCTGAGCTTCTGAGAGGACTTGTCTGAGAGTGGACCCAGCCTTCTGTTTGTCCATCCAACATGGAACCAAAGCGGATCAGGGAGGGCTACCTGGTGAAAAAGGTAAGCAAGAAGTGCCACCTACACGGTGTCACTGGAGAGGGGGTTGGGGAGGATAGAGTCCAGTTTGCACTCCCTGTGCACTCGTTTTAGAAATGTTGAATGCTGAACCTATTGGGTTGAACTAGGAGAACATCGCAGCATGTAAATGTTCAGGAGGAAACCAGCACAGGTTCCACTTCATTCTGGTTCTTAAAGGTGAACTTCCCTAGCACAGGTGTCAGCAGAGGTTGAACTCGTGGGACTGAGAACTCCAGGCTACAGGGTCTGGAAGGCAAAGGTCTAAGCAAAATCAGTATGCTTTTCAAGAGCCACATACGCCTGTTATGACTCAAACTCTTTTGCTGTAGAGGTTATTTGGAGAGACTATTGAGTTGTTATTTAAATTCCAATTCCCCTCCTTTTTATTTTTATTATTTTTTTTTGAGGAGAGAGAACAGAAAATGATTAAAGATGAGCTGATATAATAATACTCCAGTTGTAGCTTATTACTTGGGCTTTCTTCTTAGAATTGGTACATTAAAACTCTATCTTTTTTATTGGCCTGAAATCATTCACAATTCTTAGTGAATTTATATAACGTGCCACTAAAGTGGTAGGTAGAGCACCATTTTAAAGATTGGAAAATAAGGACACAAGGGCACTCAGAAATGCTTAGTCTCACTGGTGTGGCATCAGGAAATTGAATTTTGTTAGTACTGTTGGTTTGTCTTCTGCTGGTGAGCGTATGCCATGTCACTGTGAAACTCTCCAGGATGTTGAGTTCACACTCAGGGCTCATTAGCATCCTGTGGGCAATACACATATAAATAAGTACACTCATACTGTCCCAAGTGAGCTAAGCATGTCAGAAATGAGCTGAATTCGATAAGGACCTTCAGATGAATGCCTACAGTGACTCTTTTAGGTTGTTTGTTGGTTTAACATTTTAGCCAAAATGTTCTACTTACAAGGAGGTTAAACAGGACACATTGCTGCCTGATTCTCTTTTAATTTAAAGCTGGAAGGGACCCTAGATCCTCTGGCTTCATTCCCTCATTAACAGAAGAGGAAATTGAGACCCGGAAGCTGGGTGACTGACTGCCCAAGGTCACATGGCTGTGACAGAGTTGGGGCCAGAAACCCACTCTTTTGAGACCTGAGTTTCTGATTTGTGGCCCTGAGCTCAGTCAGTACACCAGGATTTTCTCAGAGTAAACTTAATCTAAGCTAGGATTTGTAATGCATCTATGGTAGTGAGAGGTATGAGCGGATGAAGGAGACTAAGTAAATGCTCAGTTTATATTTTCTCCAGCTGGCCATCTTTTGAAACATCCTTTGGAAAAGACACACATATGTACACAAAGGTGTATGTAGATTCTTTGCAATAGGCACCAATACTGTTTTTGAGAACCAAAAATTATAAATGTTGACTTACTTCTTTCCTGATTGCTTCGGTTAGTATCCTGAGGTGAGCGGGTAAATGGAAACATTTTCTGCAAAGTTGTTTTGTTCAAAAATAATTTAAACATCTTGTAATAAAAACTGCTTTAAGTGTGTATTTTCATATTTTAAACTCTATAAATTACAAAAAAAGAAGACTTACTCTTTAGTAAGTGAGTTTGCTCCAGTAGAAAATGGGAATGATAGAGCTGGGGTTATGGACTTAAATTAATAAGTACATAGTTTTTAATTTTTTCAGATCATGGCCTGTAAAAGGCAATCTAGAAAATGTAACAAGAAAGAAAAATAGTGAAAGTTCATATTGATATTTACATCTTCAGTAATTTCTGCATTTTTCTCTGGGACCTTTTGCACACTCTGTATTGTAATGTATTAAGATTCCCTAATTTGTCATTTTTAAGAAATGCTTGCTTCAGAAATATTCTCTTGTTGGCTGCAGAACTACCCCCGAAGCCAGAATTTCCTGGGAAGGTGCTGAAGTTCTTAACTTCTTTAGATGTTGAGTTTCATTCAGGTACCTCATATATGGGGGTTAATTATATATAATGGGATATTTACTGGTTCCTGGCTTGGTTGCCAAGTTAATAGTGAAGCAAGGACCAAAAAAATCTTTCTCTGGCAAGGCTGTTCGAATCCTTCACTATGGTTTTTGACATTAAAGCATGACAGGCAATAATTTATGAATCTCCCTCCAAGCACGTATTTTTTTGTTTGTTTTTTGTTTTGTTTTTTTTTTTCTCATGCAGTTTCAGATTCTTAGGTGGTAATAAAAATATCTTTCTCCTTATTCTTCTTTTATGAAATAACTTTATTGGAGATAAATACGTTTGGGGTAAAAAAATACAACACTAGGAAAACTCTGGTGCAAGGATTTTGTTAAGTCAGAAATCTTGGGATTGGTAATCAATGGAATGTTTCTGCTTTTCTTTTGTGCAAGGAAACTGCCCACATTTCACAATTTAGTTTTCCTCCTTTTCATCAGCTAAGATCTTTAAATAGAGATGATGGTTAAGTAAAGGAAGAAAAATACATAATGTCATTTTGTAGCTTTTTCATTCTAAATAAGACCTGGATTTCCTTGCCTCAGAATCTTGTCACTAAAAAAACAAAAACAAAAAACAACAACAACAACAAAAACTAACAAATAAATACAAAAGTACTTAGAAGCTACTATAGGTCCTAAAAATAATTAATACTTTTCCTCTCACCTTTTAAGTTCTAGCTGGGCTAATAATCAAACCAACAGAGACAGATTAACAGGAGAAAATCAAATTTTAATGCATGTGCATGGGAATTCACATAAGCATGAAAATTCCATAGATAGTGAGTAGACATTGGGCATATATGACATTTTTGAGAAAGCAGAAAAGGAGTGGGAGACCTGGTCTTAGATTTCAGAAGTGAGATTGGCAATTCACAGGTAGTTGAGGAAGAGCACAATATTCATGGCAGGTGAATTCTTTTAAAAAAATATATTTTATTGATTTTTTACAGAGAGGAAGGGAGAAGGATAGAGAGTTAGAAACATTGATGAGAGAGAAACATGGATCAGCTGCCTCCTTGCACACACCCTACTGGGGATGTGCCCACAACCAAGGTACATGCCCTTGACGGGAATTGAACCTGGGACCCTTGAGTCCGCAGGCCGACGCTCTATCCACTGAGCCAAACCGGTTAGGGTGGCAGGCAAATTCTTGCTAGGCAACTCCGAAACAGTGGGACACTGGGTATCTAAGCTAAGGGGTACCAGCCTGAAGCCCTCCTATTCACCATACTTAATTTGAATTTGGTTAAGGCAGTCTCCTAAGATTCCCTTCCTGGAGTAGGTTTTTCTACCTGAACCTTTTGGAAAGGATAGTAGGGAGGGCTTGAGTTTCTTTCTGAGTCTTTTATTTCTCAGTAACCATCTCAAAATCAATATCCCAAAAAGGCAGCTTCAGGGTGGCAAACTTTGATTTCCTTCACTACCTGTAGCAGTCAGTTGCTCTACAAACAAGATCTCATGCAATCCTAAACACCCTGTACAATAGTGTCTTTGTCCCCATCTTACAGATGAGAAAACTGAGGCTTCACAGGTGAAAGGCCTTGCAAGTCTGAAATGGGGCAGCTGGGGAAAGCAATATAGAGTTCCGCTCAGCCTTATGTGTTGGGTGGCATAGGTTCTGCTCATGTGCATAAGCATAGCTTTAGAAAAGAGAAAGGAGCAGGTTATGAATTGGACTCTACCAAGTCACATCCCAAACCAACCCCATTCCTGGGAGTTTATGGAGCAAACTGTTGTTGATTGTTTGACAATCAACCCCACAGGTACTTCATGTAGCAGAACTGATCCCAATTGTGAGCTTAGAGGTTTGGGTGGTCTTTTAGGCTGGGAGAAAGCACAGGAGTTGGGGTGCCCAAGGACAAGCGGGTTGGACAGGAAAGAAAAGGCCCTGTGAGAGGTGTGGTTGTAGGAGGAAAGCCTGGGGTAAAAGAGAGAACAGGAGTCAGGGGTGTTGGCCTAGAACTTTTTTCTCACAGCTACATTGTCTTCTGGACACAATACCATGAAATAGTTTCCAGTGATTTGTACCCATTGATTCCCATCATCTTAATAACTAATAGATGTGGTGCTTACCTTGCAGCAGGGACAGATTTAAAGCATCAATGCACTTAATACTTACAACAACCCTACAAAGTGGGTACAACTGTTAGCCCTACTTGACAGATGATGAAAGAGGCTTGCCCAAGGTCACACAGCTATTAGGTGGCATAGTTGGACTGGAACTCAGCAGTGTGGCCTCAGTGTCGCAGAGAGCTGTGCCTAATCGTGTTACATGCAGCCCTCTTGGGCTTGGATTGCAGTGATTTAGATTTCAAAGCACAGTTGTCGTGATGGCTGGTACCCAGGATAACCTTATGCCAGAATGATTTCACAGAATTGCCTACAAAACTGTGTAATCCCATCTGCCTATATGCTAACCATTTTTGAGCACCCGCTACAACCTAGCCACAGTACTAAGCCCTTTAAGTATACCATTTAATGTTTATAACAGTGGGAAGTAGTACAATATTACCTTTATTTTACAGGTGAGGAGACTAATGTTTGGAAAAATTAAGTAACTTGCCTATGAGGACTGTCTTCAAATTTGAACCCAAATTCCTAAGATGGAAATCATGCTGTTAAGCACTCGGTACCATTTCTCTATTGCTTACCCAGTATGATTTTATTGGGAAATTATCCAACCTGGAAGATTTGATTAATGTAAAAAACATATTAGGGAATAGATTGGTTTCCTTGCCTTCAGATAATTTAAATAGGCACAAAACAACCATTTATCTGGGATTTTGTACAAGTGATTTCATGGATCAGGTTGGAAAACCAGAAGATACAATTTACAATGCAGCAGAAATAAGGATGTAATTTGATGCAACACCAACTTGAAGTAACACGACCATGAGTGTGGGAGAATAGGTCATGCCGACTCACAGTTCTGCTTTAGTTAAACACGTAGTTTTGAGCATAAGGTAATTTTCCTTTGAATTCCAGCTATACGTCAACATATGAAAAGAGAAGTTTG